TTCATTTTTTTAAATATAAAAACCTCATCATTTGACATTTTTACCTCAGCCTCAATTTGCTCTTACTTTTTCTGAATTTTTAAGCAATTTCAGCCTCCCCTACCACCGTGGCATGCTCTGTAACTCGGTTGTCTTTCATTATCAATCTTTGGCAGCACTTTTTATATTCCATGAGGATGAACTAAGTAAGAAGGCAAATAAAAAAATATTACTGTAAATGCTCATATTTAAACCGCAAATCTTCATAAGCGCTGCACCAAACCGATTTTTTTTTTTGCTAAGCGCCATTCCCAAATAAGGGCTGTGTGCTTAATCGAGAGTATATACTACACTGTGTGTAATGAAACAGGGTTTTAAGTAAAATGTATAAAGTGTTAAAATGAATACAATGAAGACACAAACATTTCTTTATATTATAAATATTTATTTACAATGATGCAAGACCTAAAATAGAACTACTGGACTACAGAAATGCCCAAGATACCTGTACACAAAGTTTATAAGTGCTGTGGTGCTTATTCGAGCATTTACAGTATTTTGTCTAGCCAGCACCCAGTAATTGGATATACTGCTTGAATATTAAGTAAACAACAATAATATTAATAATTAATTTGAAGGCCTAGCAATCATGTATTGCTTGCACTAAGAAAAGTTCAGATACATTTTTCTCACAAATTGACAATAATATTTTTTTATTCAAATAGGATAACAATCTGGATGAAATCTAGGACAGGAGGAACAATAAAACAGATGAAGTTTAATAACAAGTCGTCAAAAGTGTCAGAATAATCTGGATGAATTTTGAAGGAAGACCGGTCAACCTTAAAGGTGGACATTTGCCCAACAAAAGTGTAATAATTCAGACATTTACAAGACACACTTGGATTTTCAGTTACTATATTGCTGGAGACAGGATTTCAGTTAAGGATGAAGACCACTTGAAAGAAGCTCTAACATGCAGAGGCAATGATCAAGTGGAAGTCCATTCCAGTAGACAAAAAAAAGATGCTTATAAAATAAGTACATGTGAAAACTTTTAATATTGTTCCTGAAAATGTGGGTAGTAATGTCCTAAATGTCTGAATTATTGTACTCTCTTGGGGTGGGGGGGGGGGGGGTTGGCAAAAGCCCATATTTAGTGTCAAGGAAAACTTTTTGATTTGTCAATTTGTAAGAAAGATTTATCTAAATTTGATTAGGCAAGACCTTTTGTACACCTTGTCCGCAAATATTTATTTTTTTTTTTATTAAAAAAAAGAATTTGTCAAAGCTAAGAAAGTAGATGTACGGTAGTTATATGGTGATAGTTTGCTGTGAATTATGTTTTTGGTTGAAATTCAAATTTTGCTTCATGTGTATTCAAATGCAATGATGAGACACTACTTAAAAACATGGTAACTTACTTCAATATTGTTACATAACAGTTATATAAAGTTTACATGCAATTATTACTTAAGAGTGGGATTTTTTAAGTTCTCCTTGAGGTGTTTATTTTTGCATAGAGGGCATTATCTTAATGTGTCTGATAAATTTATTAATTTCTTGATTGATTGATTCAGGACCTATGGATTGTGAGTAGTGGTGGCGCTAGTGGGGGTAGGG